ATAAGTAACTTTAAGATCAACATGTCTTGTATTATCCGTTGTATGAATTTATTGCAATTTAAGAAGGTTAAGACAGAGGTTTATAGTTGAGAAGACTTCTACTAAGTCAATTTGGCGAGGACGACTTCTCGCGGCTTGAAAGGCAGATGTTGTGTACAAAACGTGAAAATCTTTGGTTTGCTGTTGTAAACAGAGCAAGGACGACGTCTAAAACTCCCATGAGCCTTTAATTATGCATTTTGCGGTTTGCTGAAAGACTTCTCCCCTATAATAGGCCCCCCAAAGAAGTATTTTTATACACAAGTTTTCTTTTGCAATCATACAAACGTACAACGTACAACGCCCCTGAAAAGCTGGCATGCAAATTTTGTATACATTTTTATTGCCGATGCGGAAATTGCTACCATTTTTGGCCCAAATTAGTGTGGTAGCAATTTCCTCACGCAATACAAAAGTATACAACATTTGCGAACTTTGCAAGCCTATATTTTTCCGCATTTTACAACATTTCGAAAACCAAACTTTGTAATTTTACTAATTTTAGTATGCTCGTTCTAGCTGAGGTTATTTATTTGCATCTCCTTGCCTAGTTTTAAAATTAGTCTATAATGGGAATTGTCTCTTGTGACGTAGACTTGCCCGCAAGGACGAACCGCGAAAAAAGTGATTGGGAAGGACTTTGGGAAAGTCTAATTGTGACGTTGCGATACTGGGCAAATTAACATGCACGTCTTCCTATGAATGTAAAACGCGCCGTTTGTTAAATTTGTTTACGACCACCAGCAGGGACGCCGGTGTCCCAGGATTTTCGCCCCCCCCCCTACATTTTCGGCCCCCGGGGGGCGAAATTCCTGGGAATATCGCCCCCCCAGGGGGGCGAAAATCCTAGGAATTTCGCCCCCCTTTAGGAAATTCGCTCCCCTTTAGAACTTCACTTTTTCTTTAGGATTTTCGTCCTCCGTTCAATTTCGCCCTTCCTAACAGTTGCATGGGATAATTATTACATAGCTTTAATCATTTGAAATCAGTATCAATTCAAAATTGTTAAGACAGAGGAGAGCTTGAAATAACAACCGATCACCGATCAATGATCGGCAAGGAATTGCTTATGATCGGCGGAAAAGCAGGGTTTCGGTTTCCAACCTGAAAAAAGCAGGGAAAGTCATGACTGCCGATCACCATGATCGGGAACTTTGGGAACGTTATTTCAAGCCCTGCATGTAAGAATGCAAATTTACAATTACATGTACAGTAGATCACGCTTCACAGATATGACGCTTCACAGCACACCATGCATATTTTGCATTTTCAGTGTTAATTAAAAAGTAATCACCGTGGTGGTTATTGTAATTATTGGTATTGATTTGCATCCACGTTTTATCATTATTGGAAAATGTGTGGCTTATAAGTTGTCACTATTTTTTACTTGCATTATTTCAATATAGTTTGTAAATCTCAGAAGCGAAGGGTAAAACTTGCCAATAGGCAATATTTCAATAATATACGTTTCAAAAAAGACAAAAAAGCTTTTAGTTTTGCAGAGTTACATTCTCAAATGTTTAAGGCACTAATAAAATCAAAGTATCATGAAATGATTTGAATAATATATAAACATATATAATGCAATTTTCTTTGCGGAAGTCAAGAATCAAGATTACATCACTAACACTGACATTGAAAGTTGATGATTCAACGGACAATAGCCAATACGCTTCCCAACACATTCCATAGATTTTTTATTAATCCTACAGTTTATTGTTAGCAAGTGATTACTGTGGCGGTTATTGTTAACACTGGTATTGATAAAATTTGCAAGCGATTGTTTTTATAATATGTTATGTGAATGTAAACTGCCAGAAGAATACGACAACATGATTTTATGCGATCTCTGTGGGCAATGGTTCCATTTTAGATGTGTAGAATATGACACTAGTCTAAGTACCTCAAATGAGTGGTTATGCAGACTGTGCACACCACCAGCTGCTAAAAAGCCTAAAATGTGTATGTAATTTTGTCTCCTTGTAATAAATCACGCAATGAATCTTTTCAACTTGGAATCGTTTTGTTTTTAGATCAAAAATTCAAAATTTATATGGGGGGGGGGCGAAATTCCTAAAGGGGGGGCGATATTCCTAGGAATATCGCCCCCCTTTTGAGAGGGGGGGCGAATCTCCTGGGGGGGCGAATCTCCTGTGACACCGGAACGATGTGAAGGCAAGGGGGGCGCGCAAATTTTCGTGAAAGGGCACTTTTGATTTAGATATACTAAGAAATGTTTGCAAAACATCGGGAATCGGGGGTTGAACTTCGCCTAATCATGTTTTCTATTTATTGGATGATAGGGGTGTGAGGGGGTTCTATGCCAGGCGATTGTGCTATTCTTGAAGCTCGATGACTGCATTTCTTGCGTACTCTGAAGCAAATTCGTAAACGAATTGCACTAACATTTTTGACAATTTGCTATTTCGCCAAGGCAATCCTTTAAATGGAAAGGGCACCGTTGCCCCCCTTGCCCCTCTTGGTAAAGGGCAACGGGGGCGGTTGCCCCTTCTGCCCCCCCCCCCAGTTCCGGCGTCCTTGGCCACCAGAATATATTATCGCTTAAATAACAATTCATTTCTGACTTGTGAAACATTTACCTGTTTATTTCTTTGTTTTAATTGAACTTTCAATTGCCAATTTTGCTATCTGAAATACATTAATGAGCAACACGAGGAAAAAGCGAGAAACGTATTTAAAGGTAAAGTCAATTTAATTAACTTTTTTCATTTTAATATAAGGAACGCTATTATACTATATAGGAAAACACAAACAGAAAAAACAGCTCATGCAGTCAGCCAGTTATGTTCGTGACCTGTTGGCTGTTGCAGAACAATTCCAAAACATCAACTCAGTTCATGCATGAAACAAGATTAGACATTTACAAATAAAATGTTATTATATCGTAATTCAAATCATATACTTTAAAACTATCGAAATATTTTAAAAACTTATTATATTGCCCCAGATTGCCTGCGTTTAAATAATATAAATTCGGTCGCTATTATGTATTGCCCTTTTTTGTTTCTATTATCGAACGGGCTTTGGCGGGAAGAAAATAGTCCTGTCAGATCTGAGTATCTGACCATTGATATCAAAGGTTCTGACTTCCGTCTTAACCCATCATTGAGTGGAAGCACTCTTCCCTGGAAGAAAAAATCGTCTGGCGTTAGACAGAGTAAAATAATAAAGCAGGACGCATTGCCACTTTAAAGGGTTAACCTGCATCATTAACTAAGCGGCTTTTTACATGATGCAAGGCAGGAGGACTTTGATGTATTGAAATAAGTCACTAGGCTAAACAAAAGTCCAACTATGCTGGTTAACATGCAGAACTCATATGTTGTAGAGAAGATCTTCAGTAGTTCAAGATCGAAGATTATTATTGCTGCTTGAAGTCTTGAACAACCATTCGCTTGCATGCAGTTAACTATATGATCTATCTCTAAAAAAAATTAAGTTTTTTGCTGAATTGTACACCATGATTTATTTCAATGCACCGAAATCGTCCCGGCTCACATCTCATCCTGGCAAAGCGGGATCATATATAAACAGCCACTAAGTTACATTGCGTTCATATATAGTGTATACTTGATTGTCTTTGCTGACAATTGACAGGTCGTATTCACCCACCCAGCTTCAACCAAAGCAAGTACCACATGCATATATGGTCCATTACAACAAAATGCTGGTGAAACAACACGCAAAAAGACTATCTCTACCAATTTTCTTGTTCGTCGCTTTTTCAACCATCATCGGCATTACACTGTTGCTTCTCAGCCTTTTCTTCTCCGACACCTCACCAAACCTAACCCGTGTACCGTATGCGACAGACGAAAAAATCCTTCTCCTATTCTGGTCCAATTTATGGGGTTTGCCGGCGAAAAAGAGCGAAGGATTTCTTGAAAAAGGCATTGGCAAAGGTCAGTGTCCAGTTGCGTGCGAGGTGACATCTAATCGTGATCGAATCAAACAAGCTCACGCATTCATCGTCCACGCTCGGGACCCGTATCCTCTACCGCCAAACAAAGACATCCCTTGGATCCTAACCACTTTAGAGAACCCCGTTTATACTCCTGTTTTAAAAAACCCGGAGTACATGTCTCAATTTCATTTACTACGAAGTTACAGATTAGATTCCGACTTCCCTACTCCTCTGTTCAAGAAACCAAATTTGAACCCTCCTGTACCATTTAAAAACAAAACCGGTAGGATTATCGCCGCATTTAGTAACTGCGAACCGGTGAGGACCGAGTACCTCAGACAATTACTGAGATATATCCCGGTAGATTCTTACGGTGCACGTTTACACAATAAGGCAGGACTCGTCCAGCGTTATAAATCCGATTTTAAAAATATGAAATCGAAGTTACAAAAGACATACAAATTTTCTATAACATTTTTCAACCAAGATTGCAACTATTTTGTCGATGATCAAATTCTACATGCGCTGTACGCTGGATCTGTGCCAATCGTCATGAGTACAGACAAGATTTATGAGTTTTTACCAGGAAATCTTAAAAAACGCTATCATTAACGTAAGGGATTTCAAAAATCCCCGAGACTAGCCGAGCGTCTAAAGTTTTTGATGAGTAACGAAACGGAATATAATAAGCATTTAGAATGGAAGCGAAAAGGTCTGGGGGGTATAAGTCAAACAATTATTGGAAAATATTGGGATAGAAAATTTCATCATTGGTGTGAAGTTTGTCAAGCTATTGCTCAAGGGAAATGGCATAAACAGGGACTTAAGGTCGATCTTTGCCAGACAAGGCAGTTCAATACTTGGGGCATAAATCCAGGCTATATATAGTGTTCATCTTGGTAATGTTTGTGACAACGTATGAAGCATTGTTTTGTACATAGGTTTTGTTGGAATGGAGCCAAAAGCGACTGTGTAAATTATATTCTCAGTTTTAAAAAATTATATATAAACTATACATATAAACACTGACACTGGTGGTATTGTGGACGACGAAAGCTTAGACATAGCTACAATCCTGGCCAAAACGTTGTGGACAACCCACAAACATTGGCCTCGAATGGCATTTCCCTAAATAAATATCCCCTCGCTCCCTCAAGTCAATGTTGAATGGAATTTTACATCAAATATAAGAATTACGAAGTGTAAATAAGTGGATACGCCAACATTGAAAAGGGAGAGTGGGGTACATGCGTGTAAAGTCAAGCTTTAGTGTTACCCTCCCGCAGCACTCGAAAACCACAAACAGTTGGTCCCAGTTTTGATTGAGACTTTATCAAATGTCGGTGCAGAATTTCTCCTATGAGAATTGTTTAATCCACAAGCCACAGATATCTGGTATTCTGGTGTAGACATGTACAGGAGCATTTTTTCATCCAAATTCTTCAACTCAGCGCCGGAAATGGTATTTCCAAGCCTCAATTTTGCAAAATTTAACCGGGGGAGCATACCCGGACCCCGCCGCCCATTTTCCCTTTCTCCTATTATGCTACTCTGTTACAGTTAAATAATGTTTTGCGTGCCGTGTTTGCACTTGGCTGAAAATCTAATTAGCTGTTGTTCCCAACTTGACTGGAAGTGATCAGCCTCCCCAAAATAAAATCTGTTCAGCTGCCACTGGTTGTAGACTACAAGAAAGTGGTTCACAGATCGTCGGACTCCCCCCCCCCCCCCCCAGCAGTACCATTTGAAGAGGTAATTCGATGGAAGCCATGACCGTGGGTCGATCGTAGTATTTCATAGCCATGCATGCACTTGGGTATTGACGAATTACCTAACCGAGTTACTATATATATTATTGCTGTTCTCGAGTGCCGAGAACAATATACCTGTGCATTATAGAACTACATCAGTTGACACTTCTGGAGAAGTGGCGATGAGACGAATCTGCTCCGAAACGAGATAAACATGCAAGCTATAATGATAAATTAATATACGCGAGGGGGGCATGGGAAACTGCAACGTTGGAGGACTGACACTGAAGGAAACCAACGGCTCGCAACGAGAAGGGGAAGAGGGGGAGACCAGAGGAACGAATAAGTAATGGCCACGAACGACGACAGCACATCAATTGCGATGAAACCGACAGGGGCGACACGATGTCCAACCGAAGTAAAAACGGGACGGCTCGAACGAAACGTGTAATCGACGGGCGTGCGAAGGACGACATCAGAGCGTACTAACGGTAAAGACGTCTCGTGATTGCTGCAGCAGCACAACGTACAACCCACCTGGATGGGGGAAGAGCCGTAACATCCAACCAACCGAAGGGTGAGGGGGGAATGTTTCTAGTGACTAAAGGAGAGGAATCAGAATGCTGAGTTTTATAAGGTGGGGATGTAAAACCTCATTAGCATATATACCTCAAGCTAGGGTTCAGACCCCCCAAACCAACACCAACCAATGCACTCATTCTTAATATCATTTATTTCATAAATCCATTTAAAATGATGAAATTTTAAAAAATTGTGCAAAATTATAGCAGAATTACACAAGCTGAACTACAGCAACATGAAAATTTTAGAAAGACCAAATACTAGTAATACAAGTCAGTCCAATTTTATTTCACTAGTAATAAAGACCCCATCTCATGCGGCATCCACCTCCTCTGTTGTCGGTATCATCTCTGTAGTAAGGAGTCCAGAAGTTGGCCAAAGCACAAAGCTTGCGAGCAGCACCACCACCACACTGTCCACCATCACCATCTGGATACCATTCGTAGCACAACTGGATATTCCTCGCCCACGAACTATGCACAGGTGGTAGTTTGAGCTGCCAAGACATTCTACACCCACCGCCGCGATTATCGGTGTCGTCCCGGTAGACCGGCGTAATTTACCCACCGAAGCACACAGCAAGCGTGCCGCCCCACCGCCACACTGACCGCCGTCACCATCCGCGTACCATCGGTAGCATATTTGCACGTTCTTGAACCACTGTGGGCTGTAAGGTGATTCGATGGACCAGCTCATGCGACATCCCCCTCCTCTGTTGTCTGTGTCGTCTCTGTAATATTGGGTGGCTGCGTTGACGTGTGTGCAAAGATGTCTGGGTTCGCCAGCACCACACTGACCACCATCACCATCAGGGTACCACTGGTAACAAAGTTTGGTGTTGGTCGAAAACCAGGAAGGAACCTTGTTTTCAAAAAGAAAAGGTTGTCAAGTTTAGGGTTAGATTAGGGTCATATTAAGATTAGATTTGGGTTAGATGTTAGAGTCCGGAGTTAGGGTTCAACATGCGTCGCGAATTTATTGTATTGATAAATTCAGACGTGTTTAACAATTTACTCATATAGTATATTCAAAACTAAACCAAATTGGTTTGTAATGTAACTTGATTTCATATAAATAAAAATGGACTAAATGTATACCCCATGCCTTTAACGAGTATTTATGCGTAATTATCACAAACAAAATCGCCCTTTTACACATGATAACTTATTCAGTTCTAATGTCATGGGCCCCCGGCATGAGCACTCTGGCCCCATTGCACTCTGCGCTTGTCTGGATGCGTTGATGACATCGTGTAATTGTATCACATGCCTTGGTGAGAGCACGTTTATGTGATATAAATACGAATGTCCAAGGAATATAAATAGCATATAAATATTTTGCAAATAGTTTATTGCAGATAATTTGTCATGATTAAGATTTGCATGATATTGTAGCTGTTCTTAGAACATGAGAAAAATATTTATTAATAATTATAAAAGTTGTTGTCGTAGAATTTGCTTTGATTTTTTTAATCAGAGTACGGTTGTCATGATTGAAAAATAAATGTAGATATGATGAAAAATGAAAGATATTATTTAACCAACGAGCTTGCTGTTTAAAATCCTCAACTACAGATGACTGACTAAACATCAATGCTATACATACTGTACATTGTGAACTTAGTCCCACTAACCCCAAAACGAACGGTCTAACTAAAAACCTGACAATTAAGGCTGTCAGATTTTAAAGCCGCGTTTTGACCAGAGGAAGGGTGAGCTGCCTATTGTGTACTCGTTGCATTTTTGAGGGAAATTCTCAAAGAGAGAAACAAAAATTGAAAATTTCAACGTTTTTCAGACTCTTAATTTTTTCCAATTTCTTCTTCCTTTCCCGAAAGGGTCAATTTCTTTCCTCAACCCCCTGACTTTTTACCACCTCTAGAACGGGGAACAAATAGTAATTAGGGGCCGGCCATTTAACTTTTGAGGGGGGGGGGGGGGATTTACTGCTGGCAGGGAATTTTTCTGGGATCGTTATGTGCAAGATATTTTTTTTATCACCATCACCATGTACGATTTTTTTCCCACACTTTCTTTCGCAGCATTTTTTTTCAATAGCTTATACTATTTAGATTATAGTTAACGTTGAGTTTTTTAGCTTCATGCATTGCTCTTAATAATACATTTTGCTATGAGGTATAACATTTGGTTCAGTGCCTTTTTTAAGGATGTGCAACTGGAGAGGACATAATTAGCGGGGGACCTGGAGAAGTTCCAGTCGGCAAGTCTGTATCCAGGGCCGTAGCTAGCATGTATAGTTGGGGGGGGGGGGTGTAGGCCAAAAATTTCCGAATGACGAAAATAATTTCCGAATATATCATGGCATACTATTAGCCATGAAGGTGTTTGCTACTCGGAAAATGAAGACACAATTTACAATTAACAAAAATATGCATAATTTACGCACAGACATATTACAGAAGCAGTGCGGTAGGGAGTTTTTAAATTTCGAGTCTCCGAAATGCCATTTCCTGGACTTTGGGAAAGTTTTGACAGAATGCTGATGGTCAGAAAAAAGCGTTTTAGTATGACGAAATTTACAAGTTGCTTACAATTTATAGTGACAATACAATTTTATAATATTTTCTCTGTTTAACAACTAAAATTTTGTTCTACTATTAAATAATTGCCGTAATTTTTTGAATGGCCAACCCGATTTTCTGAATATGTTGATTCTAAAAAAGTTGGGGGGGGTTAACCACCCCCAATACACCCGCCTTGCTACAGCCCTGTCTGTATCAACCTCGTTCCCAGGGTATTTGCTCTTGGGAAGCAAAGACCCTGGTGGACGCTGGTCACGTGACCCATAGAAAATTGATAGCCTCAGAGGGGGATGGAAAGGTCTCATATTACATGTTTCCACTTCCGCACTTCACACTTCGATTGCAAGGAGTGGCCGTGCTGTACAATAATCTTTGAGAATCATATATTCTTCAAAATTTTTGCTAAATTGGTTTCTGTTTGCCGTTTTAAATTATACAAACATGGTAAAATGCAGATTCTTGTACTAACAGACAAGTCAGCAAATCAAGCAACGAAAACGTATGACCGTATGGTTTGAAATATTTGCGTTTTTAATATTCTCTCGGGGTTCGGGCGCAATATTTTCATTTCATACGTACGTTTCTGTCCTGGCTCTGCCTCTGGTTCAGATATTTACAATATTCTTATAATATGCCATTGAATTGTTGTCATATAGAAAGGAAACGGTATAAATTTTGTAAAATAGAGGTATCAAAAGCGACTGACAAAATTGTTTGGAATCGACACTCGACAGTGCACTTTTTTGTCTTCACGACTACCTGTTTGTTGAGCCAAAATATTGCACAGAATCTCCTATAATAAATTATAGCTATCGCCATTCACCCTCCCACCCTAAATGCAAAGGAATGATATCCGAAAAGATTTAGCAAAGTATTTGTTATTATATCTGGTACGAAGTGTCCCTATACGTTTTATCAGGGATATATATTTATATATACATAATTCATAAACTGTATATGCGCACCAAGTCTCGCTCATAGAATTACTTAATGAGTTTTATTAAGCCTTTTAAAGTTTCTATTGATACTGATACTGATACTGATACTGATAGATAGGTTGTTTGCTTACAGTTACGAAGTATCGTTTGGTGAAACTTCTAAAATTTCAATTACAGTTACGACACAGTATAGGGGTATATACGATAAAGATTAAAGACTTAAAGTTGATTTAAATATTGATGACTCACAGCGGCATTATACAAGCCGAAAGAAGCTGGATTTTAAGTTGGATTATTCTTCAAATAATGCCTGGGCATTAATACCAATGCCAATGAAAGGTCTTTATAAGATTCATAATGTTTACTGCAATATATGATATAATTTAGTCTAGTGCATATATCGTATTCAAGTTGTACCGCACGCACCGAGGAATCTTGGCGTGTGATAACAGTATACTGTAGCTGTACTTCGACATATATCATTCTTGATCGTTGAGCTGTTTCAGCAATGTAAATAAAAGGAATAACGGGTTTTAATCCTGTGCTTACTGTAATTCACAGTCAAAACAGCACTATTGTTTTTATATACACAGTTGGCGATGTTCAGTACTTCAGTTGGGAAATCAAAGGATCCCGTTATAAAATAAATCCTTTGTTTTGAATATCGGACAGGATACATTTCAACTATAAACAACCATATCATATCGTTCGTTTTATATAAATACCGTTTGATCGATCAGTCGGTGTAGAAGATATCAGATATGTATGTTTATACGGCGATCTGATGCGTGCTCACTAGCCAGGCGCGTGTGGAGTATATTTTTCCTTGCAAGTGAAATATGATCCAGCT